CATCAGAAACAGACAGTCTTTGTTTAGAAGCAGAATAACTAATGGCTCAAGCCACATATTCTTCAAATAGCACCACCACTCAGGGTATCAGACAATGGTAAATAAGTGCTTCCAAAATATTTTAAATAAATTTATTAACAAGTATGACAAGCTCATATAGGAACACATAAGCTAATGTCAATTGATGGCATATCTAGGTGAATATAAGCTTCCAAATACATCCAGGCCAATGGTTTAATACTTTAATAGTTCAGTTCAATGAAAAGAATATAATTAGAACTTTCTCCATTAATAAAACTTGACTTTTTATGAAAATAATACATTTTCATTAACTCATTTGTTTTTTGTTTTTAATTTGGAGTAGTTTATTTTATATCTGTTAATCCTTTTAATATTAATGGTTATATAATTTCTCCATCAGAGAGTATGTGAGAATTACTCTAACATATACAGAAAAGACTCCATTTTAGTATGATACTTTAAATTGAAACAATTACTATGATCACATCTTAGGAAAAATAATCAAATTTAAGAATTGCCTTTGTGAATTATCTTCAAGATAAAATTGCATGGATTAGAATTTGACATAATCCTTTGAGAGAGCATGAAGAAAATACTAAAGAAAATAGTTCTAGATTAAAAATAATGTTTAAAAATTAATTAATTTCTTGTAAAATTATAATCTTATGAAATTTTTAGGGTGATTATATTTTTGGTTTCTTCAAATACTTTCCCAAACTCTCAAAACTTTCATAAATAAATCATGCTAACTGCATACATTATAGAAATTAAAGTGATATTGTTAAAATAGGCTAAGAAACATTATTTTCTTTACTATTCTCAAAAATTTAATCTAATCCAATAATAAACGTAAAGAAAAGCTATTCTCCAACTTATAAGGAATCTTAAATAGTAAAAATAAATGTGTGATATGTCATTAAATAAATGCTCTCAGATTCAATATATACTTTTAGTGGTCTATAAGTCATTTAATACTTCTGCATTTCTCAATTTTCAAATTTTTCTGACTCAGTAACTGTAGATAAAATTTATAAGAAGTATTTATTTGTAGTCATTACACACACATACACAGGTTTATGGGGGAGTCTCATATTTCATATTCAGTGCCTGATCTCTGAAGGATAGTTAAAAAAACAAGAGTTTTCTGTTGACTTCCTGTTAAATATATGCATGACCATGAAAAAGTCATTTAACCTTTTCAACCTCAATTTTCCCTGTGTAAGATGAGAAACTTGGACCAAATTCATAGTCTCAACCTTTCTTTAAAAGGAGCAACTTCTAACTTAGCCAGTTGAAGAAACAATTGATGATGAAGCACATTCAGGAGGTCAGATATTAGAAACTGAAAGGTTACTGCATGTTGCATATGGATACATCACCACTTCTGATGATTTTCCTTTCCCCATCAGAAAAAATATTAGAAGGTCAGAGAAAATATTAGAAGGAATATAGCATGTACTGGAAGATAAATCTACTGATTTAAATTTTGGATTTCCCTCAAGTATAGCTTATTGTTCTTTCCAGTAAGAATTTGTCTCTTTCCTTGTAGCATACTTCTTTTTTTGTCTTCCTATGGCTTTATATTAGAAGAATATGAGTTCCTACAACTCTTCTACTTACTTCTTAAAAGTAGAGAGGCAACAGGAGGGATGGGCTCTCTACTCAAATCCAATTTCAAAATATATTCAAGTACTATATTCCAATTGAATATATAAAAATATATTCAACATATATATAAAAATATATTCAAGTACTATATGGCACTTTCCTGAGGCTTGTGTGTAATATAAATATAAGTAATGCCTCAGCCCAAAAACTCCTGAAACTGATAGGCAACTTCAGCAAAGTCTCAGGATATAAAATCAATGTGCAAAAATCATAGGCATTTCTATACACCAATAACAGACATAAAGAGAGCCAAATCAAGGACAAACTGCCATTCACAATTGCTACAAAAGGAATAAAATACCTAGGAATACAACTTACAAGGAACGTAAGGGACCTCTTCAAGGAAAACTACAAACCACTGCTCAATGAAATAATAGAGGACACAAACAGATGGAGAAACATTCCATGTTCATGGTTAGGAAGAATCAATATCGTGAAAATGGCTATACTGCCCAAAGTAATTTACAGATTCAACGCTATCCCCATCAAGCTACCATTGACTTTCTTCACAGAACTGGAAGAAACCACCATGAACTTCATATGGAACCAAAAGAGAGCCCACATAGCCAAGTCAATTCTAAGCAAAAAGAATACAGTGGGAGGCCTCACAATACCAAACTTCAAACTATACTACAAGGCTACAGTAATCAAAACAGCATGGTACTGGTACCAAAACAGAGATATAGACCAATGGAACAGAACAGAGGCATTGGAGTCAACACAACATATCTACAACCATACAATCTTTGATAAACCTGACAAAAACAAGCAATGAGAAAAGGATTCCCTGTTTAATAAATGGTGTTGGGAAAACGGGCTAGCCATGTGCAGAAAGCAGAAACTGGACCCGTTCCTGACATCTTACACTAAAATTAACTCCAGATGGATTAAAGACTTAAACATAAGACCTGGCACCATAAAAAACCCTAGAAGAAAATCTAGGCAAAACCATTCAGGACATAGGAGTAGGCAAGGACTTCATGACCAAAACATCAAAAGCATTGGCAACAAAAGCCAAAATAGACAAATGGAACCTAATAAAACTCCACAGCTTCTGCACGGCAAAAGAAATCATCACTTAACCTTTTCAACCTCAATTTTCCCTGTGTAAGATGAGAAACTTGGACCAAATTCATAGTCTCAACATTTCTTTAAAAGGTGCAACTTCTAATTTAGCCAGTTGAAGAAACAATTGATGATGAAGTACATTCAGGAGGTCAGATATTAGAAACTGAAAGGTTACTGCATTTTGCATATGGATACATCACCACTTCTGATGATTTTCCTTTCCCCATCAGAGAAAATATTAGAAGGTCAGAGAAAATATTAGAAGGAATATAGCATATACTGGAAGATGAATCGGCAACCAAAAGAACGGGAAAAAATCTTTGCAGTTTACCTATCTGACAATGAGCTCATAGCCAGAATTTACAAAGAACTCAAACAGATTTACAAGAAAAAAACAAACAAGCCCATTCAAAAATGGGCAAAGGATATGAACAGACACTTTACAAAAGAAGACATACATGAGGCCAACAAACATACGATAAAATGCTCATCATCACTGGTCATTAGAGAAATGCAAATCAAAACCACATTGAGATACCATTTCACGCCAGTTAGAATGGCGATAATTAAAAAATCTGGAGACAACAGATGCTGGAGAGGATGTGGAGAAAAAGGAACACTTTTACACTGTTGGTGGGAGTGTAAATTAGTTCAACCATTGTGGAAGACAGTGTGGCGATTCCTCAAGGCCTTAGAAATAGAAATTCCATTTGACCCAGCAATCCCATTACTGGGTATATATCCAAAGGACTATAAATCATTCTACTATAAGGACACATGCACACAAATGTTCATTGCATCACTGTTTACAATAGCAAAGACCTGGAAGCAACCCAAATGCCCATCGATGATAGTCTGGACTGGGAAAATGTGGCACATATACACTATGGAATATTATGCAACAATCAAAAATGATGAGTTCGTGTTGTTTGTAGGGACATGATTGAATCTGGAGAACATCATTCTCAGCACACTGACACAAGAACAGAAAATGAAATACTGCATATTCTCACTCATAGGCGGGTGATGAAAAATGAGAACACATGGACACAGGGAAGGGAGTACTACACACTGGGTTCTATTTGGGGGAATAGGGGAGGGATAGCAAGGGGAGAGCTGGGGAGGGATAGCCTGGGGAGAAATGCCAAATGTGGGTGAAGGGAAGGAAGGCAGCAAAACACACTGCCATGTGTGTACCTATGCAACTATCTTGCATGTTCTGCACATGTACCCCTAAACCTAAAATGCAATAAAAAAATAAAAAGAAAAAAAAAGAACTTTAAAAAAAAGTAATGAACAGTATTGTTCAGAGGCATTGATTGTGCTTTGCTTGTTGATTCTTGGAGAATGTGTCTTTCTTGCTTTAAATCACAAGCAAGTTAAGGAGAGATAGTGAAGAAATATCAAGGAAAGACATTCTCACTTTCAAACATTTTTCTCAATGGTTTAAAGAAACAAAGTTCAGTATTTTCTTATCTATTAATTACCAGTAGTAAGTTCATTTAATAATTGATTATAAAAATTATTTCTTTGTGTTTTAGATAGGATTTAGAAATGCCAAATATGATTAAAATTTTATAATCAGTTACTATAGATTCATTTAATTTAATTTACAAATTTTTTTCATTCTTAAAAATCAAGAAAAATTAACAAAATATGGTGATGGGAAAATTTCTTTTGTGTTAAATTTACCTAATAATATTTTCTCTAACTTTGGGCACTGATAATTAGAGAGACAGTTGAAAATGTAGCTGTTTATGAAACTGTAATTAGGCTGCTTCAAAGATAAACAATGATCATGTAGAAATTTTTTTTGAAAATATTACTGTTTTTAAAGCAACTTTTTAGTGCAGACATAAATTATATGTACATATGTTCTTAAAATGATATACATACTAATAAATGATATAATCTGCTTAAAATGTAGAACACCTAAAGTAATATGTCATATCTTCAATATAACCCAACAGTGCTCACCTCTGAGCTATCAATTTGACATACACCAAAAAGAAAATGATTGGGCTCAAACTTATCTGAATTTACTAATGATCTCAATTCTAATCAATTACTGAAATGCGTATCTGCTTAAAACATATTTCTTATACTTTATTTAATTTGTTTTGTTATATTAATCTGTGTTATAAAAAATTAAGTCAACAAATTGCTGGGTATTTGAAGATGTATTGTAAATCAAATAAATCCAGTTGTACTGGACCGAGTGTTTGTTTCTCTTCGAGATTCAGATGTTGAAGCCTGAACTGAATTATGATGGCATTTGGAGGTGAGACCTTTGAGAAGCAATTAAGTGGAGCCCTACTAAATGGCATTGGTCCTTTTACAGAAAGAGTCCAGAGAACCAGCTCATTCTTTTCACAATGTAAGTATCCAAGAAGTTGAAAATCTGCAACCCAGAAAAGACCTTCACTAGAATCTGACCATGCTGACACCCTGAACTTGAACTTCTAGTTCCAAACTGATTAAGACACTATAATTGATATTGATGATTTGTGTTAATATTTAAGACTAATTTTTATTAATCATTTTGGGATAAGTGGAGTATATCATTCTGGTTTATGTAATAAATTAAATATTCACATTTATTAATACTTTATTTGTTATGGGAGACTTATGAACAAAAAATTCCTTAATTTTACCAGAAGTTTAAGATATTTAGCATGTTGAAATAATAGGTTACCCAGGGAAAAGATACGTGGAACATATTTTCTTTAATGTTTCTGATTTACACATCCATTTTTATTACATGGGACATTCTAAAATAATCATTAATACAATTATATACAAATATATATATATATATATATATATATGCACAAAACAGACCATATATTTCCATTTGACAGATGAGTATTTGCTTTTCACAAATAACAAAGAAAACCTGAGAAAACAAATCCAGGGAAGCAGTCTATTGAAGATGTAGTGCAATTTTCTGGGAGAATTTTAGCAATCTGGAGAGTATCTTGTAAACTATTAAAATAAATGTGTTTATGTCTTAAAATGAAAGTTGAATCGTGGAACAGTATTTTTAGAAACAATGAAGCTTTTTGTTACAATGAATATTTTCAATTATATTTCAGCATTCACCCATAGTCCAAGTAATTGTCAAATAATATTTTATATAATATATATTTTTTTGAGGTCAGTATTCACCCATGCTTCAGGTAACCATAAAATAATCTGAGTTTTCTGTTGTCAAAACTACAATACGTTTCCTCCAGACATCTATACTCATGTTATTTTATAAAAGGGAACTCTTATTTTGTAGCATTTTTCTTCTCAGCCCCTTTTTGTACATATGTACATACACACACATGCAGGACACCCAGACTTTCCTACACACACATAGTTTAATAAAATTCATTAATATTGTTATCAAATGCCTTTTTTTAACTATATGTTATGTAAGTTTTTAGGAAGAATCTCAATTGGAAAATAATTTAAAATTGTTTTACATTTACATGTGCTTGCATATCTTTAATATATAGTTGGAACTGTAAAATATTATATTTTTAAATTTCTGTTTTAAAACTAGATTGCATGCTATACATTAATGGTTTAGGTTGGCCTTTGTTGCTAAAATCTCATAATCTTAATAACCTTCTTTTAGTAGCCTAGGAGGAAAATAAACAACTTTAATAAGCAGCAAAGTGGAAAAAAGATTGAAATCAGACGCTGATGTACTATATCAGAGCACATTGCATGGTACACATGTATGGACTGTAACAAAAACTCTTTATATTTATCACAATGTTATTTTAATTTTATTTTACATTTCTTTTAGGTTCAGAAAAAGTTACATTCAACCACTTATGAGAGATGAAATGGAGTAAATATGAGTGTTGCTACATAAAAAAATAAATAAATAAATGACAGTAAGATTTTGCTATAGCCTAAACAGAAACTTTTTGGTTCCAGATTGCCATGTTGGATAAATATTTGCTATTTTGAAAAAACAAACAAACATAATAGAATATTTGTAATAAAATATTTTTGTATTAAATTTATCAAGTGAATATTTCCAAATGATCGAAATAACTACTGCCAATATTTTATGAATTTGCACTATTTTGTGACAACAATGGATTACCAAACCAACTACTTATATTTATTTAACTAGTATATTATAAATAGTATTGGAGGTCCATCAAGCATACATATGCCAGTGCGTGAATGTGAGTCTCTGTGTGCAAATGTACAAACATATATTCATATAGATGAATATACTTAACACACACATCAGGGAATTGTCAGAAAAATATACAAAATGCTTGAGATTACTGCACACATTCATTGTATACAATTGTCATAAACCTATGAGACAGATACTCTCAATTTTTTTAATGCATATCTCTAAAGGAAAATACTAGGCAGATAACAATTTAAAAGTCCTTACTTAGTTGATAAGATAAAAAAAGGCTTATTTGAAAATTTTATTTGATTTTAAGTTTTAAACCTGAAAGAAATAAAGCAGCTTAAGGGAGAAAGATTGAGCATTTGATAAGAATACCCTGCATACAAATAAATGCTCAGTGAGCTGAAGTAGTGTAGCACATTTGGTTAACTTAAAGAAAAAAGAAAATTTCATAATGTTAGGCTGGAGAGGCATACGGTAGTCATGTGTCATCTCTATCTTTACGTATTAATGAAAGAGAATAGTATTCCTTGAATTAAAAGCCTTGGGATAGCAGCATTTTAGCTATTATAGAAATTCACTGTGGGTGAAATAAGATACATATGTAAAAGTGTGAGGCATCTCTAATGCTTTATCTTTTAATTCAGAAATTTTTTTATGAAGTTTCTCTTTTTTCTACCATTCATTAGTTTTATCTTATAATATAAAGATAGTTTTGATTCCATTTTTTTTCCAGTTGTGGTCTTTATACTTACTTGCATTAATTAGCCTTAGCTTTTTGAGGAATCCTTATGTGGTCATTATGTACATATTCATATAATTAAAATCATTAAACATCAACTAGATTAGACATAGTTACTGAATTGTATGTGTTGAAGATACAGCTCATTTGATAAAATCAGCAAAAAATACAGCAATCTTCTGAAAATTGTATACTAGGTTATTAGGAAAACCTTCCTACATGAAAAAACTAAAATAGCTAAACCAAAGTAAAACTAAAACCATTTGTTGAAAGAACTGGGGGCAATGAATGTGGTAGGTGTTTGATGGCCATGAGATTGCAGGCAGGAAAGGAAGCTCAGGGAGTGGAGTCCTGCATTTGATGACATCTCTCCTTTTAAGGTATCTGTCAATTATATATTGCTTCTAGAGATGATGAGCAACTTTATAATTATGATGAAATAATGTAATTAAATGTCATAATAGAAATTGTAAATTACCATAAAGTATAAAACTGTAAGGATTTATGCCCTAACAATTGCCCTAAAATGTGGAAGTTAACTGAACTAAAGAATAGAAAATTCCAAAAGCATATTTGGAAATATTTAGACACCTTTCTTGGTAACTGATAAATGGACAAGAAAAAATCAATAAGCCAATAAGCCTGTACAATATATGAGCAAACTGATTGATAAATATGACCTGATTCCAACAAATTCAGAATATACATTCTTTGGAAGTACACATGATGGGAGATTAACTAAAATTTACTGCATGCTGGGCCACAGAGTAAGTCACAAAATATATCAGAAGTATAAAATAAATGATATATTATCTAATATCATGTTATTAACTTAAAATCAACACTAAAGCAAATAACTAGAGAATTCCAATTAAATTGAAAAGAAAACTCCTAAGTAACCAACAACTGAGATGAAAATAATAATTGTAAAATTAGAAAATATTTAATTTAATGTTAAAATTGCTAGCCTGTCATTAGAAGAGAGCTGTATGCTCACTGCATAGTCTAGAAAATAAAATGAGAACACACTTATCTAAGCCTTCCTCTCATTTAAATTAACTGAAGAAATCCCAAGATAGAAAATGATTACAATAAAAGTTCATTATATATTCTATAATATATTTCTAAAAATTATAAACCCCTGGTGAGAGAGATCATGGTATAAGAGATAAATCTCAATAATCCATAATAGGAATAATAAAGTGGCTATTGGATATGTTAGGAAATGAAAATGATGATAAAAGCATATTACAAATATCTTTATATAAATATATCCGAAAATATAGACAAAATTTTAAAATGTCCTAGAACATACCCAAACAGACATGATAAAATTTTGAAATCTGAATTATTCTATATAATATAATTTAATCATTCCCACATAAACAACTATAGGTAGAGTTGACTTCCTAGTAAACATAATCAAATATTTAAGGAAGAGTCAACTCATCTATTTCTTGAAATGCCTTGAAATCTAAGGAATAGATGAAAACATTTCTAGACTTGCTTTGAGGACTATCATAATCCTGCTAACAAAACCTGGCAAAGATTTGCAATGACAGTTAATTATTGGCTAGTAACTTTCATAAACGTTAGCATAAAATTCTAAATTAAATATTAAATCAAATTCAAAATTTATTTTAAAAATGTATATAATCAACAGATTAGGTTCATTCCAGAATTGTATTATTACTCTATAATTTATGAATCAATCAAAATAATTTATCAGATTACTAAAATAGAGGGCTGGAGAGAGATCCAAAATGGCTGATTAGCAGCAGCTCAGGATGGTAGCTCCCAGTGAAAGCGCAGAGAGCGAGTGGACGCCACACTTCCAGATGAATATTTGTTGCCCACGAACCAGGAGATTCCTGGCGGGGGAGCCCCATGGGCAGCTGGCACAACTCTATTGGCCACTGTGGCTGTTTTGCCGGTGCCCTGGTGCAGCAGTTCTCAGTGCAGAGTGTACGGGACTGGGTGCCCTTTTGGTTGGCGTTTGGAGCTCTGGGAGGGCAGAGTTGCCCATTCAGCTGATTGAAGGGGGTACTGAAGCAGGAAGCCAAACCAGGAGATTCCCAGGCAGAGGGGCACCAGAAATCTCAATGCTGTTGTTTCAGCTGGTGCAGTGGATTGATGCAGGGGAAATTACACAGATTCCGGCACTTTGCAGTGGACAACTGTAACACCTGGAGAGAGTCGACCATTCAACTAAAAAAAAAATGAGGAAGTGGCTCTGAGACAGGGAGCCAGATGATCGGGCTTAGCTGGTCCCACCTCCACAAAGCAACAGCAGTTGGAAGCGCTGAAGATTGAGAGTTTTACAGCAAGCACAGCTGAAACTGGGAAGGTCCAGCTCTGTGTGTGTGTGTGTGGCGGGGGGCGTCCACTGAAGGAAAACTAAAAAAACAGAAAAAACTTCATCACCAACAAGCTGGACATCCACTCAGAGACCCAATCTGAAACTCAGCAATTACAAAGACAACAGGTGGGTAAATCCACAAAGATGGGAAGAAACCAGCGCAAAAAGGCTGAAAACACCTGAAATCAGAATGTCTCTCCTCCTACAGGGGATCACAGCTCCTTATCAGCAACAGAATAAGGCCTGATGGAGAATGAGTGTGATGAATTGACAGAATCAGGCTTCAAAAGATGGATAAGAAATTTCTGTGAGCTAAAAGAACATGTTCTAACGCAATGCAAAGAAACTAAGAACCTTGAAAACAGGTTCAATTAAATGCTAACAAGAATAGACAATTTAGAGAGGAATATAAGTGTATTAATAGAGCTGAAAAACACAATACGAGAACTTCGTGAAGTATGCACAAGTTTTAACAGTCAAATTAATCATGCAGAAGAAGGGATATCAGAGGTCGAAGACCAACTTAATGAAATAAAATGAGAAGACAAGGTTAGAGAAAATAGGCTAAAAAGGAATAAGCAAAGTCTCCAGGAAATATGGGACTATATGAAAAGACCTAATCTATGTTTGATAGGTGTACCTGAATGTGACAAAGAGAATGAATCCAAGCTGGAAAATATTCTTCAGGACATTATCCAGGAAAACTTTCCCAACCTAGCAAAGTAGGACAATACTCAACTCCAACTAATACAGAGAACACCACAAAGATATTCCTCAAGAAGAGCAACCCCAAGGCACATAATAGTTAGATTCATCAGGGTTGAAACAAAGGAGAAAATACTAAGGGCAGCCAGAGAGAAAGGTCAGGTTACCCACAAAGGGAAGCCTATCAGACACAGCAGATCTCTCAGCAGAAACACTACAAGCCAGAAGAGAGTGGGGGCCAATATTCAACATCCTTAAAGAAAAGAACTTTCAACCCAGAATTTCATATCCAGCCAAACCAAGCTTCATAATTGAAGGAAAAATAAAATTTTTCTCAAACAAGCAAATACTCAGAGATTTCATCGTCACCAGGCCTGCTTTACAAGAGCTTCTGAAAGAAGCATTACACATACAAAGGAACAACCAGTATCAGCCATTCCAAAAACATACCAAAAGGTAAAGAGTATCACCATAATGAAGAATCTACATAAACTAATAAGCAAAACAACCAGCTAGCATTAAATGGCAGTATTAAACTCATATATATCAATATCAATCCTAAATTTAAATGGACTAAATGCCCCAGTCAAAAGACACAGAAAGGCAAGTTGTATAAAAAGCCAAAACCCATCGGTGTGCTGCATCCAGACCCATCTCACATGCAAGGATACACATATACTCAAAACAAAGGGATGGAGGAAGATTTACCAACCAAATGAAGAGCAAAAAAAAAAAAAAAAAGGCAGGAGTTGCAATTCTCGTCTCTGATAAAATAGACTTTAAAGCAACAAATACCAAAAGAGACAAAGAAGGACATTACATAATGGCACAAGGATCAATGCAACAGGAAGAGCTAACAATCCTAAATATATACGTACCCAATACAGGAGTACCCAGATACATAAGGCAAGTGTTTAATGACTTACGAAGA